GAAAGACAGTGGATAAAGACAAAAGCCCGATTACATATATACGCACACACCTACATTCTACAAACAACAATGAAGGAGACCGGCTATGCAAATACTTATGCAAAGGATTAACAGGAGCTGGATAAATATTCAGAATTTCCACCAGACAAAATTATAGTACACAGCAAGTTTAATTCGCCCAAATTTCTGGGCCAACCAATTAGGTACTTAACAAAATGGCATGGATCAGTGCTGCATCCTCTAATGTGTGGATTTGTGTCCTCATAGTGCAATTTCTAGCCTCTTTTTCTTTTGTGTTCTATTCATTTTCTTTTTTTTTTTTTTGACACTTGACAATATTTATTTTTTTAAATTTCAGATTAATGTGAGGGTACAACGTTTTTGTTTCTAAGGTAAAGTTCAAGTTGTAGTTGAGCCCTTCACCCAGGAGGTGTGCTGTATATGCCTACCTTGTGCACAGTAGGTGATCACAGCCAATCCTCCTTCCTCTTCCCCTCACTTGAATATACATGCCGTTTTCTTTCCTGTGGGCGTGTTGTAGTTTATATGTTGGTTTTATATTTGTACTGAGTACACTGGATGCTTGCTTTTCTATTCTTGTGATTGTAGTTCATTCATTTTCTTCCATGCTGATGTTTCGTCTTAAGGTTTTTCATCTTAACCTATACTCCTTCAAGGTAACAACCACTGAAGCCAGGGGTTAAGATCCCAATTTAGAAGAATAGACTTTACCTTCTACTTTTAGGAAAAGAAGCAGCATTTCACACAGCACAAGCTAAGATCTCACAGGATTTGTATAAATTTGATATAGTCCCCTAAAATTTCATCATATTCTTGTGTTATAGAAGTATGGCTATAGTATAAATATATTATAACATATATTCTGGAATGACAACTATTTAGAGTAAGATCTAACTCCAAAAATAAAGATTTTTATAGTACTTCCTCAACTATAAAAGTGGCTTAGAAATATACACAAGGTTTTATTTATTTTTTTGAGACAGAGTCTCACTTTGTCACACTTGCTAGAGTGCCATGCTGTCATAGCTCACAGCAACCAAAAACTCTTGGGCTCAAGTGATCCTCTTGCCTGAGCCTCCCAAGTAACTGGGACTACACGCACCAGCCACAATGCCCAGCTACTTTTTAGAGAAGGGGTCTCACTCTTGCTCAGGCTGGTCTTGAACTCCTGAGATCAGGCAATCCACCTGCCTCGGTCCCCCATATTACTGAGATTACAGGCATGAGCCACCATGCCTGGCCTTAGGTTTTTAGTAATGACTTGGCATAAGAAGATATTCTATCCTTGTTACAACTTTATTTCAACCCCATCTCTTGGCGTACATCTAGTGGAAAGCATATTTCACTTCACTCCTCCACACCCACTTTCCTGACAGATGGTCCTGGGAATGTGCTTCATGTTTAATCAGCTTATTTACTCATCTATGCAAGGGATGCAACGCCTTCACTGCCTCCACCATAGGGCCGTCAAGAGTAGCCTGGAGATAATTTATGTCAAGAGGAGGAAGAAAATCCACAGGTATTCCTTATCTCTTGCTTCATTTAATCCACACAACAACTCTAGCATGACAGTTCGTACTTTTCCCTGAGGCCACACCAGAAGAATGGGGACAAGTAGTTTGAAGAAAAGGAAAGAGAAATTTATCACTTTCCTGGCAAAAGAGGAAAATGGCAGACTATTGTCTCAAAATCCAAGTTTTTGCTTCTGGGCAGAGACACAGAGCTTTTAAATGTTCTAATTTCATAGTCCTGTTTTGTGCTAAGGCAATCTTGCAGCCTCTGCCCAGATTCATCCCATCTATGGCTAAAAACAATCTGTGACTCCCGCCCAGGTTAATTCTATCTTTGGCTAAGATAACCAGTGGCCTCTGCCCAGATGATTCCTTTAAGATATCTCCTAGGGTTCAAGAACAAAAGACATACTTCTCCCCGCTTCTGGCCTAAGGCAGAAATGGAGGTTCCCTAATTTCACTCAGTCTTGTGACTTCCACCCCAAAACGGTGCCTCAAAACAAGTTCACGCTTCCTCCACGAGACCAGACCATGCTGTTCCCCTACATCTTCTTAGTCTTAAGAGCATTTCTGGAGCACCTAACAGTGTGCCAAGAAAGACAGACTGCATTGTGACAGGGCAGTACAGTGGTTAAGGGCTATGTCATTTGGGTTCAAAATTCTAGCCCTGGTTTGAATATTTTTCCTAACTCCGAGATGTCAGAAACCACTCTCTAAATCAGTGGTTCTCAACCTGTGGGTCGCGACCCCTTTGGGGGTCGAGTGACCCTTTCACAGGGGTCACCTAAATATACCCTGCATATCAGATATTTACATAACGATTCATGACAATAGCAAAATCACAGTTACAAAGTAGCAATGAAAATAATTTTATGGTTGGGGGTCACCACATGAGGCACTGTACTAAAGGGTCGCGGCATTAAGAAGGTTGAGAACCACTGCCCTAAATTCATATGCTGATGAAATTTGTAGGTGGGGCCCTTGGGTGGAGGTCATCACCCTAAAATTAGAGGTCATCAGAGTGGGGCTGCTATACTGTGACCTGTGGGTTTATCAGTCAGACCTGAGCCAACATGGTCTTGCAACTCCCCTAAGTGAAACCAGGGTCATTGTCTACCTTGCTTATAATAAATAGCAGATTTTTAATTTCATTTAAATACAGAAAATACCAAAAAAGTACATACATTTTAAGAAAGGAAAAAATTGTATTAAAATTATAATGCTCAAGTCACATTTGACTTTTGTAATTACAAGAGGTGCTCAGATGTGACTTGTATTCACTTTGTTATCAGCATATAGCGAGTGTTACAATTTTAATAGTTTTTTTCTTTCTTAAAATGTGAATACATTTTTCTTGGCACCCAGTATATGAAAGGCCATGGATGACTTGTGCCCCTCTCTTTACTTATGTCTCTCCTTTTCTTTAAAAAATGTTTGGGAGAGGTTATCACTAAGGGAAGAGTAAGTGGCCATTATCCCTCAAAATCTTCTAGATAATGAAAGATTGAACCATACAACTATTTCAGTTTGGTTCCTTGACATGTTCTCAATGAAGAAAAATTCTAAAAAAAGGAAAAAATGAAATACTAAGACGGAGTCTAGTACCCTCTGCTAATTCTTACCTCTTTCCCTAATTTTTGTATCTAAGTTACTACGATTTTAAAAAGTTATTTAAGCAGCAAAGCAAGATGAAGATCAAGATTTCAATGTTTTAATGATGTGCGTTTAAAACAGACGTTTTAGAAAGTTTTTGTTTTCTCATTCTATTTTCTTCTATTTTAGCATGATTCCTGGTATACACAGAAACTGAGAAATGATTGAATAGGTTCATACAGAAAGCAGGAGGCAGGCATTTCAGCAAGGATCACTATCATCCTCATTCACCCTATAGATGTATATTTTTTGAAAAGGCTTTTAGCCTCTATGGCAATGGTTCTCAACCTGTGGGTCGCAACCCCTTTGTAACAGTGAAAATACATAGCGGCATTAGAAAGGTTGAGAACTGCTGCTCTAAGGGAAGAGTTTGTACTTGGTAATCCCTAGGCACAGAACAGGTTATCAATAAAAGCTTGATAATGTTGAATAGTCATACAGATTTTGATATAATGTAGGAAAACAGAGAATTAAATTTCTTTTTAAATTTCTTAAGTACAAAAACACATTTTCCTGTGAATTTTTATTGTTTTCCACTGAAAGTGTTCTCTAATAGTCTATATTATAATAGCTTTTTGACATATCATAAAATTTACCATTTTAAAAAGAACAACAGTCATTTAAAAACAGAGTACATTCATGGGGATATCTAACTACCACCACCATCTAATTCTAGATTAGATCTAGCATCATTTCCAAAAAGCCATCTCATCCCATTAGGTGATCACTTCCCAACCCTCTATCTCCCAAGCTCCTTTTAACTACTAATCTATATTATGTGTCTATAGATTTGCCTATTCTGGGTCTTCTCAGACTAGGCAGCCGTCTGCAACCGGCTTCTTTCACTTAGCTTAATATTTTCAAGGGTCATCCATTCTGTAGTACGTATCAGTACTTCATTTCTTTTTATGAAAGTACCTAACTTTTTAATGCCTCAAGAAGCCTATAAAATATATGCAAACAACGATACTTTTGATGATGAGGACTTGAGATTTTTAAGGATATGCCTTGTTGGAATGTAGAAAGATTTCCAATAATTGAATACACTTAAAAGATGCCATCCTTTGTAGCGTGACATACAACAAGACTGCTTTTAAAAAGATTCAACTTAGATGATCTATTATTAAATATGTACTAACATAAGTGTAAGTTTCCCTCAGAAATTTCCCTCATGCTGTAGTAATTATTAAGATCACCACCATTATGGGTAAAAGTCCACTTTCCTCTTTTTTCATGAGGCTTTCATTAAATGAAACAGGTCTTCACAGGCAAAATCTTTTTCTCTTTTCCAGTTTTGTTAACTGCTTGCTTATTCTGCACCAAGTTTTCTGGGTGTGGTTTCTGGGTAAGGAGATTAAGGCCATAGTGGCTTTACTGAGATTGACACTTAAGATACTGAGGCCAACCATACTTTAACCTCCCTCCTCTGACAGAGAGACCTACTCAATCTCATTTGATGAGACACCTGATAGTACTGGTCTCTGGGAGAAGCTGCAGCCAATGCTTGGATATTTCATGGTTGCTGTGAAATCAGGCTCTGTATGTTTGGATCTGTTCTGCTCTAAACATCTCGAGAAATTATTTTTTTTTAACCATAATATGAAGCTGTTTATCGGTAACACTGTCAGAGGCTTCCACTTAAGGTAGCAGAGGATTGCTCATCCATAATTTTGATAAAGCAAGTCTTCCTCTGGCTCCTAATGACTCAGTGGGGGAGACAGACTATATTCAGAGTGCACCTGCCACACCTGCTCTCCCCGTGCACGCACCCTCAGCCGGCACACACAATCCCAGCTGTTGCCAGAGGGGAAGAAAGATAAACGGCAGCTGATCTGGGACCTCTTCCCTCTTCTGCCTTGTGCAGGGGCCATGCTACTCTTCTCTGCATCATTCCGGTTCTAGCACTTGTGCTGCTGAAGGGAGCACCTCTCTTCTGCCTTTGCATCATTGGATCTTATAGGTGACTGGGTCTTTGGAGAGACCTAGACCCATGGTTTTCAGTATGTGCTTTAAAATCAATGAAAAACATTTTAAATTGTGGTAAAATACACACAAAACTTCTATCTTAACCATTTTGAAGTATACAGTTCAGTATGGTGCAGGAATTCATTGTTCGGCAACCAGAACTCTTTGTATCTTGAAAAACGAAAACTTTATACCCATTAAGCCACTCTTCTTTCTCCTCTCCCCCAGGCCCATGGCAACCACCATTTTACTTATTAGGTGTCTATGAATCTGACCACCCTAGTTACCGCACATGCGCATAATCAGAGTCATCCTTTTGTGAGTCACTTATTTTACTTAGCATGGTATCTTTAAGGTTCTTTCATTTTATGGCACAAATCAAAATTTCCTCCCTTTTTAAGGTTAAGTAATATTTCAATGTATCTGTTTGTCACGTTTGGTTAATCCATTCATTCTTGATGGACACCAGGGATGTTTCTAACTTTTGGCTACTGTGAATAGTACTGCTGAGAACATGGGTGTACAAATATTTCAAGATTTTTCTTTCGATTCTTTTGGGTATAGACCCAGAAGTGAAATTGCTGACTCATATGGTAAATGCATTTAACTTTCTGAGGGAGTATCAAACAGTATTTCATTGTGGCTGTGAATTTATATTCCCATCAACAGTGCACAAATTCTCATAGCTTCATATCCTTGCCAAGATATGGTTACTTTCTTTTTTCTTTTACATAGTAGCCATCTTACTGGGTGTTTAATATATACTTTTATTTTTTAAATTTAATTAATTTTATTTTTGAGACAGTCTTATTTTGTTGCCCTCAGTAAAGTGCTGTGGCATCATAGCTCATAGCAACCTCAAACTCTTGGGTTTAAGAGATCCTCTTGCCTCAGCCTCCCAGATACAGGCACCCATCACAACACCTGGCTATACTTTTTTTTTAAGAGACATACTTGCTCTCATGCTTGCTTAGGTTGGTCTCGAACTGAAGTCAAGTGATCCACCTGCCTCGGCCTCCCAGAATGCTAGGATTACAGGTGTGAGCCACTGCACCCAGCCCAATATGTGCTTTTAAAATATACTTTTTTCAGTATACATTCCAGGGTTTCCACAATTCCATAAAGAATGAGGAGTTTGGCTCAGCGCCTGTGGCTCAAGTGGCTAAGGTGCCAGCCACATACACCTAAGGTGGCAGGTTCGAATCCAGCCCAGGCCTGCCAAACAACAATGATGGCTGCAACCAAAAAATAGCCAGGCATTGTGGTGGATACCTATGGTCCCAGCTACTTGGGAGGTGGAGGCAAGAGTCGCTTGAGCCCAGGAGTTGGAGGTTGCTGTGAGCTGTAATGCCACAGCACTCTACCCAGGGGAATAGCTTAAGGTTCTGTCTCAAAAAAAAAAAAAGGATGAGGAGTTCTGGGGCACTGAAGGTTGAAATGGTAAATATCTTTTTATCCTGTAAGAAACTGTTAGGAAAAAAAAGAATTCTCCTAAAAAAAAAAATTGACACCTACTGATTTTGACCAAGAACTTAATTACTTTAATGTAATTAAAATGAAACAAAACTACCAATTATAGGGGCTTCTACCCTGTGCAGGCCTTATGAGACATGCGTCATCTCATTTCATTTCCATAACCACCTATAAAATAGATGCTATTAACTCAAGTTCATATGTGAGCAAAGTGAAGCTGGAAGGGGTTACTGGTCACATGGCTAGAAAATGCCAGAGCTGAAATTTGAACCTGAGCTGTTTGATTCCAAAAGTGGTGCTAGCACATGCCACCATGTCCAGCTCATTTTTCTGTTCTGGTAGATACAGGGTCTTGCTCTTGCTCAGGCTGGTCTTTAAGTCCCAGATTGCTAGGATGAGAGGCATGAACCACCACACTGTAGAGGTGTCACCATTAAAGCTCAGTCAAAAGTAGCTTGCTATCTGTGTTACAGTAAAGAAAGCCCATTCCAGCTGTAAACATCTATGAGTAGGGAGACATATGGTAATTGACCTGGAAAAAGTCATTTAAAACTCTGTTATAAAGTAATCATATGCTTCCCATACATTGAGGAAAGTTATTTAAAAATGTTAAATTATTTGAAATGAGTTGACCAAATGATATCAGATTTCCTGTAATGTTTCTTTCTCTCTCTCTTTTTTTTTTTTAAGAGACAGACTCTCACTTTTGTTGCCCTCAGTTGAGTACCGAGGCATCACAGCTCATAGCAACCTCCAGCTCTTGGGCTTAGGCGATTCTCTTGCCTCAGCCTCCTGAGTAGCTGAGACTATAAGCACCGGCCACCCTTGGTATATGGGGCTGGCGCCCTAATCACTGAGCCACAGGCGCTGCCCTCCTGTAATGTTTCTAATGAATACTGTAACTGCAACAAAAATTCCATTCTTTTTCTGAACATTCTACCATCAAAAATTCTTAAAAACAGAAATCCTAAGGGGCTTTATAATGACAAGATGTCCACACTCTTATATCACTTGATAAATCTGGATGTAAATTAATTTCTGTGTTGAATATTTTTCTTTCCCCTCCAGAAAGTAAATCACTCTTGCAGGCTTTTGAGATGTCAGTTTACTCGAAACTCTCAGTTAATAAGTTATCTTGCCCTCATTTGGTCTTTGGATAAATTAGATGCTTGCTAAAGTTTCAAACATGTCAAGAAATGAACACAATATCTTTGAAGTTTCTAAAGAAAGATGATTTAGGAATCATAAAATTCAATCCAGTGCCAACTGTCTTTTGTGTGTGCAGTACATTTGTCCTAAGGAGATGCTTTTATGGAGACCCAGCGATTGCCTGTGGCCAGGACCCCATTCGCCGCCTCTGAGCACCAAGGCTGCCCACTGAGCTTACCCAGCGTGACTGGCTAGCTCTCATGGTCATACACTGAAGTGTGTAAAAATGCATTAGGAGATTTGGATTCGAATCTCTGTTCTGCCACTTTACTCAGAAGGAACAGGGCCAAATAAATCCTCAGAGTTTCTTTTTTTGTGTAGTCATCTTTAAAAGTGTCTATTCTTATGAATTTCAAATGATGTACTATACATATTTTGTAAGCTGTAAAATTCAAGGGCATATTATTAAAGGCTTATTAACATAAAGATAATTATTATGAGCAAATGATTCTTTTTTGAGACTTTTACGACTTACCTTAAGGCAATTTATAAACAGAAAAATTTTCATAGCATTGCGCTTGGTCAGTATTTTCTAATCTTGCCTGATCTGATCAGAAAAATCATCTGAGGAACTTATTAAAAATATGGATCGTTAGGTCCCTGCTGTGGATGTAATGAACTGACTGAGAGGCCCTGACTTAGAAACAGTTAGAAAATTTGTTTTTAAATTTTTAAATTCAGGGGGCTGCAATCCTTGTAGAAACAAGCTTGCTTTGTATTTCTTACCAACAAATGTATATCACATTTGCCATAATGCTAGCTGGAGTTTCTAAATATCAAGAGTCCATTTCAAAGCACGATTACTAGGGATTCAAAATGTATTTAATTCATTTTGCAACCTTGGTGCAGCTAGAACCCAGAGAGGCTGCTGCCAGTTCTGGTTTCTCTTGGGATAACGCTGGATGAGTCCGAAGTCCAAGTGCACATTGCCTCTAAGGTTAGAAGGTCATGGACTACACAGTCTGAGCATGGTTCATCGGACTTTGCTGTTTTTACTGCCTTATTTTACTTTACTGTGTCCCACCCCCGTGCCACCACACCACTTCAGAGCTGGGTGGCTTTGCATGACTTAACTTCTTGCTTCCCTCACAGAGTGACTGTGAGGAATAAATGAAATGATGTGTAGAAAACTTGCTACAGTACCCGGTGTCCAGTAATAAATGAAAGCTGTTCCCTAAATTAGTCTGAATTGTGTGTGAAAAATTCTCCCATGTTTTAAAGTCTCAGAGGTAAGCACTGAACAGAGCCTACGGGGATCCTGACCAACCACTCATAGGGGTGCCTCACCTGGTGATGTTCCATGCCCTCTGAGGACAATCCAGACCGAGCATGAACTTCTGGGCCCTTCCTCCCCACCCCAGGGCATTGCACCATGCCACCTCTTGGCTGTAAAGAAACGCTTCACCCAGTGGGGGCATCAGGATGTTTGGTTGGGTCATGGTTATTGGCATGGGACTGTCCCATAAATTAAAGGAGGTTGAGTCATCCTGACCCTCACCCATCACATGCCAGTCACCACCATGACAACCAAAAAATGCCTCTATCAATATCCAGATCCTCCAAGGAGACTGATGCTCCCTCTCCCCCCATGGAGAACCAGTGGCTCTGGCAGGACTCTGGAGAGGTCATCTCTAAGAAGAAGAGCATCCTACCAGGAGTTCGATGATCACCGCCTGTCAGCTCTTTCCTGCGTGACTAGAGTCTGCCACAGCTCACAGCCCAGCCTCGTCAGCCCCTTTCTCTGCGTCCTAATGCATCTCAAACACGACTGCCACTGCCACGGTTCTCCTTGTGGAGACCTGCAAGGACTCTCTTTCACCTGCAGGACCAAAGCCAGTCCCCACAGCCCAGCCTGGCACTCACAGACTCCTTTCTCCAGGCTGGACTCACCATTTGTCTCCGGTCAGCTGTCCTGCTGCATCTGGGCTTCGGTTTCCCTTTCTTGGAGCCGATTCTAATCCTCATTACCAGCACGCCCAGCTGCTTCTCCCCCAACTATCTAGTCCATGCTGATGTCCCTCGTGGCCTTGTTTCTTTTTCCCTCTCTCCTGCTTCGGTTAGGGGAGAGCTGGTAAATGATCAATCCTGTGTGCAAGGGGGGCTTCCCCCTGCAACCCTTCCATGCAGTGAAGCCCTAACCCCTTCCCTTGAGGTGCCCCCAGCCCTTCCTGTACATGGTTCAAACCACCAGACAGAGAAGAGCCATGTTTTTTCACTACCAGGGAAGAAGAGCAGTGCCTAAGGAGGGAACCAGGGTCATATGAGCTGATGCCAAAGCA